TTAGAAAATACCAAAGATACATACTTAAGTTACGACTTGTGTTTGAAAATCGGGATCTCTATCACTAAACCATTCGGGTACAGGAACTGATCTTCACCAGGACATTAGCATACGAATTAGGAGTGAAAAAAGTGAGCCTGCAGCTTATGTCTTAGTTCAAGTATCTACTTAAAGTCAAATGAGGGTAGCAAGTATGGCTGCCGTAAATGACAGGCCGCCATCTTGCTTTCTTAACGATTTTCCCTTTAACTATGATATAGTTTGATTTTTTCTCTATTTTTCCTAGATTTAGACACTGTTCACAATTGTGGTATATAAAAGACATTATAGGTTTCGAACCATGCATGGTAATTGATGAAGAAAATGTCTTGCGCCTCGTCACAATAAGACTTATAATTCTTTTATAAATTAAACCGACTTTAACTCCTTCTTTTTAGAAGTCGTTAATTAGCACTTATACTAAAACCTTTTTCTTAATATAAATAATAAACACTTTTCTGAAAACGCCTAATCACCCAAAAACATACATACCTACATACATACAGGTCAGAAATCAGTTAAATGTATAAATATATATTCGAAAATTACCCAAGTAGGTGCTTGGCTCATCTAAAACTTACCTGGTCGATATTGCTTTAAATAAAAAGGTCGTCCTTATATTGCTATTGTGATGAGTCCAATGGAATTTCATAATTCGTACTATTTAAAAATAAAAAAGAGGTCAATACCCGTTCCAACTTTAACCGGGAACTAACAGCCGGCCGGCAGTTGTACTGTTAACCACTCGATTAGCGAAGAAGTCTAATTCTAATCTCTATCTGCCGTATCGAGATTTTTAAGAACATGTTTTTTTTATAACATAAACCGGTTAATGAGCAGACGGATCACCTGATGGTAAGCAATCGGCGCCGCCCATGGACACTCGAAACACCAGGGCGTTACAAGTGCGTTACCGGCCTTTTAGGAATGTGTACACAACTTAATGCCATCTTCAAAAATCAAGGTAGTGGCTAACTGTACTAATTAAAATCAGACAAAAAACGAACAATGTCTGCTCCAACTAAAATTGAATTGAAAAAGTAGATGTAACATTCAGTCTAGGTACAGCTATAAACCAGGATAGGTTTTCTTGAAATTAGAGTAAGGACTTGGTTACATCAAAAGGTAAAGTCGATATTTCTTTTATACGCATACGATAGGTACATTACGGATTCTATCAGGTATGTAATAAC